GATAATTAGATCGTGAGTATAAATCGCAGTTTAAGCGTCACTAACTGTTGGTAGATTTAATTCGAGTAGGAATTGCCAAAAGGTTCCGTTTGAAAAGAGTTAAATCTCAAGGTCAGTATTCCGCCGCTCTCCCAGGAATATTGGCTCGACAACCCCAAATTGTAACATTACCAGAGTTTCCAGTTTTGAAGATTTTTATAGATTTATATGCTGATGAGTTTGGGAGCTTATTGTAATAATTTTTACAAGCTCAATGGTGTATATTTACAACTCAGAAATATGTCATTCAGCATGTGAAAACAAATAAGAAATCACTTCTTAGTCAGCTTTGTACCTTTTGGCAGGCATCTCAATGATTTTTGGAACCACTCTGCCATGAAATAAGAACTCTCCAACATGGTATTTTATGTCAACAAAGCATGGACAGTTTTGGGTTGTTGCAGTAATAGGCTGTGTCACTGCTTATTTGCCACAGGGGAATGATTTTTACAAGGGTGAAGAGACATGGAGCAAATCATGGGTGCCATACTTGCATGACAGATCAGATGCACCTTACAGATTCTAAGTATGACTACATTGCCAATGCACAATTCAACCAAGAAACTGAAAAAAAGATTGAACAGCTGGAGGATCTTTCTACCTCATTAGCATGAGAATGATGGTCTACAGAGCATGGCCTTATGCTAAAACCAGGACCCTTAGATAAGTTGATATGGGATCATCACAAAAAAATGCCCCAAGATGCATATCATTCTATGGCTGGGAAGACAATGAAACTTCTGGATGTAACCATGAATTTATTCAGTGATGGTGGACAAGAACAGTGGCTATATCATTGGAAGTGCATAGAAAAACCCACAAAATGGTCAGCATTGTTGAATCCTTCAGTTTCTTGTTCAGTGATGTCTTAAACATTGTGATGCTGATGCCATTTATATTATGACAATTTCTAGCACCTACCCATTTAAAAAGCCATATTCATTGTGAACTTAAAAGGCATTTGGGCTTGCAATGAGACAGTCAAGTAATTAACAATATAATTAAGTGTTGGGTAGTTGCTGCAAAGTCACTAAAAATGGTGTTCTCTTGCTGCTTCACTGAGCTTGACTATGATGCTTTACAATTGACTCTGAATGAAGAATAAGAAATTTTGGTAAAGGCAATACTCTGACATCAAGCAAATAACACCAAATACCATGCATTTTTGGTATTCACAAAAGAGCAGAGAAACACAATGGCATCAGTTATTTCCTATCACCATTGTTGATAATATGCCTGACAACCACTTTATCCATGCATGTACCAACACATGCAAAATTCTCATGACCAAACTAATCAACACTATTCAAAACATCTTCTCTTATAATGTAATTTAGTTATATAGACAATTAATAAACCATTAATTTTACATTATATAGGGTTTTCCTAATTACACTTTTATTATTTATCCAACTTTAATTGTTGAGAACAAGTTAAGGATTATGTATACATTATAGCAATAGAATAATATAAACAATAGATATAGTTAACCAATAACACCTCTAGTTACATTAAACAACAATAATACATTATTTTTTATAATCCCCCAGCTACTGAATTCTCATCTACTTCTACCCCTACTTCCTCCTCTTCTACTTTTTCCTCCTTATTGGTTGATCATTCAACTGCCACTTCCCCTCATTTCTTCATCCCATTGCACAGTGGTGGGGGTTTTTCTTCTCAACAATATTAGTATAAACCTACAATGTAACAACCAAATGTTAATATTAAAAAAAAACCTTGACATAATTATGACTCTTCTTACTCCCACCTGATCTAGTAGTTCCCCCAGGTACTGTGGGCACATGGTGAGTTTGAGTGAGGTGTATTTATACAATGCAGTGTATGGCGAGTGAGTTTGAAGCATCATTTTTCATAAAATACATGTCTTCAGTTGGTTCAGATGATATGAAAGGAGTAGTGGAAGTAGTGAGCAGCAGCAGATTCCCATGGGCTCAGTCTCTTTTGTTTGTGGCGGCAAACTCTTGCAACTTGGGTTGGGATTATATTTTGCGGGCGGCGGACTCGTCCTCTATTACTTTCTTATTGCTCGATCCCACCAGGACTGTGCGGTGTGGGTTGGATGTTCTTCCGCGAGGGCTCTGTATATTTTCTTTCCTTTGTCTTCTTCACATACTCGCGCAGTAAGTCGTGCCCATCGTTGCTTGATCTTCATTGGATAGATGGATGGAATGGATGTATGGATTTGAGAAAGAAATGGGGAATTTTTTTATTATTTGAATCCAAGAGAAATCCAATTGCTTGGTTGGGGTGATAGTAAGAAGCAATGCTATTTATAAGTTACCCGACACGTTTTCTGTTGTTGTTGTTGTTGTTGTTGCTGTTGTTGTTGTTGTTGTTGGTGCTGGTGGCGTTGTTGGTGTTGTGGGGTGGTGGCCTGATATAGGTTTTTTTTTACGCTAATCCATTGCCGATCATTTGCAATAATATAGTCAACCTCGCCTCGTTAATCCGAAGTCAACGGGACCGAGGTTTAAGTTCGGATTAACGGCATCTTCGGATTAACGAGGTTTGTTCACAATAATCCGAACTTGCTATTGAATTCAATAATGATTCGGTTTACAACTGACTGTAAATCTTAATGTTTCATCATAACATACACGAAATGGTTATTCACGCTTCCACCTCTAAATCTGATTATGACATTTCGCTTTGAGGT